GATATGTTGTCCATTTGTCCATTGTTTCTAGATTGGTCAGATTTCTTGCTCCCACAGTATGGATAAATAATCACATTGTGGGGCATACATCCATGGCGCTACGTGACCGTTAAATGACTGACCTGTGTTTTCATGAGCAAAATTATTTACATTTCAGTGGTTCCATGAATGATTCACCACAATACCCACAGAAATACAGCAGGGTATGTCTGTGATTGGTCAGGATGCTCACAGCACACGTTAAACCACTCTGAGTGGACGAAGGGCTCATTTGCTTGTTCCGGCGTTCTGCAGTGTCAGTATTGCAGAGGTCAAAATTGCTATAGTGATTAGCAGACCTAGTATGGCTCGAATCTACAGTGGTCACTCTCTGTTGAATTTGTGCTCTAGTCTTGCCTGTAGGCCACAGTGAGCTAAATACTCACTGTATTTTTCCTTAAAGGGTGGTTTCAGAGGGATTTGACGATAGAGAAACTCGCAGAGTCAGTGGTGTTGATAGGAACCAGATATCTAAAGAACTTAATGCCTCTAAAAGCGCCTTCACAGAAAGTTAGTACATGAAATGAAATGCTTATAAATACACTGCCTGGGACTTCGTTTTTTTGGTGGTTGTTAGAAGGTTTTTGGCCTAAAACTTGTATTTTTAATCATTTAAATCATTAATGGTATTTTTTTAGATTCATGACTATTTTACCATCATCATTCCATATAAAACTTAGAAGACACATGTAGGTTCACTGGTGGTTTTAGATATTAAATAAACTATATTTGTGTTTTAGTCATCGTAGAACCATGTGATCGTTGAATGACTGGCCTGCATTTTCCTGACCAAAATTATTTACATTTCTGGTTCCTATCACCACCACTGTGTCTCTACAGTCTCTACAATCAACCATTTCACATCAAAACACTGTGAAGGAGTTTTTTTGATTCTCTGAAAATTTTAAATATTGGTGGAATTCCCCTTTAATGTGTCTACTGTGAGGTGAGTGCTGTAGCTGATTTAGGATCAGTGTTTTTTCAGTGAGAGTTAAATGTCCAGACAGTGTGAGTGATGAGTGATGGTTAATGTGTTATTAGCCTGCGTCTATAAACACATTACGACCGTATTAGTGTTCATACACACTCACACTCACACACTCTCACAGCCGTCACCATCACTGCTCACTGAGTGTGTATGTGAGTGTGAGTGTGTGTAGGTGTGAACGCTGGCAGCAGATTCCTCAGACCCTCCTCTCTCACTCCTCTAATCTCTCTCTCTCTGTTTTTCTGTTTCTTTCTCTCTCTCTCTCATTTGCCCTTCACCTTCTCTACAGTTTCCTTTTTCTTTCCTTTGAGCTGTCACTTCTTTTTTTCTCGTTTTTCTTCTTTCTTTGTTTTTTCATACTTTCATTCTTTTTCTTTCTCGCTTTTTTTCCCCTTCTTTCATTCATACTTAATTTTTTATTTGCATGTTAGTTTATTTCTCAGTTTCTCTTTTGCTTTCTTTCTGGCTTACTTTTATTCCTTTTGTCATTTTTATCTTTCTTTATTTCTTGATTTCTTTTTTTACTTTTTTTTTTTTGATTTCTCATTTTCTTTCTTTCCTTCCTTTCTTCCTTTCTTTCTTTCCCTTTCCCTCAGAAACAGCCGGACGGTCAGAAACGTCTGGAGAGATGTATCGAGGTATCTGCGTGCACTCTGTCGGATGGATATGTCATATGACATTATGCCTGCGAGCAGCCATCTCAGATAAAATGACAGATGCTGTTTTTTGCCTCGTGGATCTTTTCGCCCAACAAAGCTGATTTCATATCTTTTTCTTTTCTGCCTTCTCTGTCTCTTTTTTGACCTTGTAGAACCTCTTTGTTAGTCAACGCTTGTTTGCAGTTACCATTTAATTGTCCGTGACACAAAAAACAGCGGTCGATGTGTTAATTTCAAGCTGCATTGCATTTTTAGAAGTGAATTTACAGAGTACACCAGAAGATGCACCAGGAGTCTTGTTGAACACTGTGTGCGTGTGTGTGTGTGTGTGTGTGTGTGTGTGGTGGTCCAGCTCAGGAGGAGCTTTTAGAAAAGAGTATGTGTGGAAGGTAGATGTGTGACACTCTGTGCAGACCTGTACACTTACACATTGGGGGTGTTTGAGCAGTGTCGGAAACTGGGAAATACCAATTTTCCCACTTGTAAATTTGGCTCAAATGGCTGACGTAGGAAGTCGTATTTACAGCTGGCAAACTCAGGATTCTAGATGATACACAAGTCAAATTTCACCACAATTCCACAGCATTTTCATACATGAATCATGTACAAAATACACTCCTGCAACATTTTACTTGTGTGAAAAAGGGAAAGCTGTACTGTAAAAACAAAAGCCTGTCGTAAACGTAGCAATGCTGCGGTGCATTTGTGCAGTAGAGTCATACAAGATGCACTTCAGTGACGTTTTCCAAGAAAACTGAAAGCTTGATGATAAAAACAGCAGAAGAGGATACGTTTTTCAGCTTCCCCAGTAATGGCTACTGTTCACACGTGAGCCCTCCTGCTAGTTTTTGGGAATTATTTTTGGGCTTCATGCAGGAAATTTGTCAGTCGTGCAGGGATTTTGTCTCAGGTTTGTGTTCCCAGTTTCCAATTTACGTACCCGTTTACACAAATTCCTGGTTACTATGAAAGGGGCTTCATATTCCAAAATGAAAGCAGTTTTCAGTTTTCATTATTAGATCTCAAGCATTCGAACACACCGATGAAATATGGAGGCACCTTTCTTTCTTTCTTTCTGCATCTCACGTTTCGCTCACTCACCAGATGCCAAAGCCTACTGTCTTCCTCTGTCCGCGGTGGATGGATGCGTTTGATTGGTCCGGGCGATGATTGGCAGTAATTGCCATGGCAGCAGGCATGCCCGCCTTTCACATGAGGTCAGCCCTGATTGCCCTGATGAGGCCGAGCCTTCTCGCTCGGGGGGACCTGCTTCACCCCGAGGGTGCCCCTGCGCTCCGCCTGCCCCAAATTCACCCAGCCTCAACACACTCCACCTGTCAAAACCACTGACGCTCCTGTCTGAGCGCAGGCCACCCTGCTCGGCTGCGCTGAGCGGCCGCGCGGTCGGTTTGTTGAGAATATGAAGGTGGGTAATGCCAGTGTAGGCTGGTATAAAGGCCATGTGTACATCTCAGACTAAATCTATGCCATGCAAGCTGACCAGGCACAGATGTTAGCAATCAAGCCCCTCTGTAATCTGTGTTTACGGGGGAAAATCCATCTAATTGTCACAACGTATGTAGGTGGATCAGCGATAGATATCTGTCATGCATTTTCTGCATTTGGCTTCTTGACGTCGTTCATCTATGGAAACTTACTGGAGTCTGTTTATCTGTTTATGTGAAACACGAGCCTTTGAAAGCTTTTTTCTTTCCTTCGTTCCCACGTGGACTGAGCAGCCAAAGCCGACGAGTTCATTGACTTCACTGACTCAGTATTTGAGATATTTTTGCGAGATTTGTTTTCAAAAGGGCTAATCCAGCGTACTGGCTATTAAACCCTTTTACTGCATTCCCAGAGTCAGATTAATTGCAGCGTTGTTTCTCGCTGCACGCGGCTCGAAGATGCAGTCAGAGCTGCTTAGCTAGCATAGCAGCTACTGTAGCAGATAACAAAAGTGATGAACTGTCCCATTGATGCTCCTCTGAATACCACACGACTAACCGACTGATGATTGTTTTCTTATGTTCAGGGAATAAACAGTGAAGTTTGGACCTTTGAATATGAATACAGACATGCTAATACTAATGCTTGAGGAGGAAAACCAGTTCCAATGCATGCAAAGAATATGTTGGTGTCCATTGTGTACAGTGAAAATGCACGTTTTGCACTCCTGGTTCAACTGCATGCTTTTTTGTGCTTGCAACTAAGTTAACACACCCTCTACAGAGAACAATTAAATACGACAACTTCTGTTTATTTGCAGAATTTAACATAAACCATAAATATTAAAATAAACCATGAATTGCTGCGTGTGCCCAAATGCCACATTTTATGTTGTTATTTATTCCAATGTGTTAAAATCAGCAAATTAATGTAAATTGTACATTAAACTAGCAGAAGTGGGTTCCTGTAGAGGATGCGTTCATTCATTTGCAGTTAGAGAATCGTTGTCATTTGACTAGGGCTGCCCAGACTTGGAAATCTTGGATATCTGTGTGAAAGCTGGTAACTGACCACAGCCTGACCAATTACAGTAGTTTGCTAGTTTGCTGATATGTAATTAGTGGTGGGAAAAAAATATATATACATTTAAATACTTTGAGTGAAAAATAGTATTGATGCATGGAAGTCCAAGTTTTTATTTTATTATTTAATTATTAATAATTTTACCCTGTGTTTTATATATATGTATATATATATATATATATATATATATATATATATATATATATATATATATATAAATTTTATCATTTATACTTTATTGCTAAAGTATTAAATCCACCATTTTGTGAGCCTACATGATGGATTAGGAGGGTATTTTTATTTTTAATTCCAATAAGGTTCAAAGTTCAAATAAGCTTCTTTTGGAGGCATAATTAAGGTAGTCAAATCTAATAAACGGAAGTATATTGTAAAATGTCATATCACAGTAATAGCTTAAAATTGCAATTGAATCATGTTTGGCTCATTTATAGTGATCAGGGGTGCCAAATCTTTTTGGCCTGGGTGGGTCAAAGTTAAATTTTTGTGGTGGGCCAAAAACAAAACAATACACAATTGAAGAATCTAATGTATAATGACTGTTAGAACATTATTTTTGTCACTGAAATAAACAATTTTAAATTAAAATAGTAATTTAATAAGTTACGTATGGTATAAACCTGTATTTGCTGTCTCATTGAGGTGTTGGGGTCGTTAGTTTTGGCCAGCCTGATTGTGATAATGTCGCATTGTGGGGTCACTAGTGGTCACCACCCCTTGTTAACAGTGTCCACAGAACTGATTTTGTTTCTCGGTCCTCTCTCTAGGTGTCCGGAGGTTCCGCCGGTTCTCCAGCTTCTTCGTCCTCAGTATCCACGTCCTCACGGCAGTACCCCCGCCAGCGAATCACACGCGTCAACCTCAGGGACTTCATCTTTTATATGGAGCAGGAACGAGAGACGAACCGATCGCTCTTACTCTACCGCGCTCTGCTGAAGTAGCTAACGTCAACGATGCTAACACTAACCGAAAGACAAAAACACAACACACAGAAAACCTACAACACGGAATCGGTAGCCAACAGCGAACACTCACCGCACCCAGCAATCTCAAGCTTCCTACAGCACCCTGCAACGTGCCTTCAGTGACCTTTTCTTTTCCGCTCTCAGTGTCTCTGTCGTGATGTCGATGTGGCTTTTTATTACCGAAAAAAATTTGAAGTGAAAATGACGAGAAAAAAATGTTGATGTATCTTTTCACTTTTGTTTTCATTTTTTCTTCTCCTGCAAAAATGAACTCATCTTAAATTCGTCATTGAACATTAACTTAAAGGCCATGTAAAGAGGGGCTGGAGGCAGGTTGTCCTTTCAGCATTCATTTTTAATTTAATTTTTACATTTTTTTTTTGGATACATTCTGGATGAATCTGAGCCCGATCTTGATGATGTCTTTGGTTTCTGGAATAGCTGTATATTTGACTTGTGTAGCGCTTATAGTGAACGATCTTTGAGACGAAACGCCTTGAAGTGATTTGTGTATATTGTTTTTACAGAAATTCTTCTCGAAACGTTTATGCAGCCCTAATTTAATCAGTTATGTCCAGCCAATTCTGAATAATTCAGATCCCAACAACAGCATTTATAGACTAAAACTCTTCAAAAAGTACGGAGGGTGGGAGGGTAACAGATAACTGCGAAGCATTTATTGATACCACTTTGATGTAAATAGTTTCTTTGAAAATAATTTTAATCAGCATGTATGTTTTCCACTGTTAGCAGCAAAATAATGTTTAAAACATTTGTCTGTACGATCGAAGTATTCATTAATAATCAAGTGCATTTCAATTTAGTTAGTGATTTTTAAATTTTTTCCCGTTATACATCCATGAAAATTGCGCTCTGTTTTTCCAACAAGGACACACAGTGTCACTGATGTGGAGCACCACTTTTATTTATGAAGTGATTTTATTGCTAATGGCGCCCCCCTGTGGAGAATCTTTAGCCTGCTAAATGTGAGTGAGTGAGTGAGTGAGTTAGTGAGTGAGTTACAGGCCAGTCCCACGAGGTGCTTCGCATCTGTAAAAACAGGTCAAGAGTCAGTAAACCAGCAGTGGTCAAGACTATAGCAATACACCCCCACGACAAGTTTTAATATTTCTTTGTCACCTTTTTATTGTGATCTTTGTTCTGTCTGCTAATTTTGTGGCATCCAGTCTAAACTAAAAACCGATACATGTAGAGGTGGGCAATATGACCATATTTAACCCCTTTGTTTGTTACTGTGATAAACAGTTTGCTTTTCTGAGCACGTTGTAGATATCAACCCCAGAGAATTACAAAGAAAGCAGGATCACTTTTACATTTGTTATTTTAATCAGACTAAACCTGGTTAGTCTTTAATATTCAAGAAATTATAAAGAAAACTTTCTCAATTTTATTAAAACATTTTGCAAAGCTACACGTCCAGCTTAAAGTAAAAGTGCCTTTTGCAGCTGTACAGTAATCATGCTGGGAAAAGAACAATGAACAACTACATGTTTCACTACAAACTTTCAGACCCTCCAGGAAATTGTGACCTCACCATCGCAGAAGTTCACACAAATTCAACCCGTCGTCTCGGTATGTGCCAGAATTCACAGTTTTGGCCAATCAGTGCATTTCAGCTCCAAACGTGAATCTGTAAGTGAAACTTTATTTATCGCTCTTATTTATTATTGTAAATGTGACATAATCATGACAGTCAACATGCTACAAACTGTGCTAGCTGAGTTAGCATTACTCACTGCCCACCTGCTCGGTTATGTCCTCATCCTTCTTATGTAGCTTTTTCATTCCTGATTTTTGGTGCCGCCTTGGTTTTTTGGGAGATCCTCCTGCTGCTGTCCATCGTTACGTGATCTACATATGAAAGATCATCTCTTGAGGCTGATTTTAGCTTTTTATTTGAGTTTCCGTTCCACCTTAGTTACACGTTTAGCGCCTGTGAATGTAACTGCTACAACATTTATGGTGGCACAGGAACTTTAGCTTCATCTAATCTCTGTCCGCTGTACGAGAGTCGGCTACAATCAGCAAACCGGGGCTGCAGCGCTTGAGGTGAGGGCCGCTGATTTAACCCCTAAATTACTACAGATGTGCACTTGGATGTAATATTTACAGTTTATCTGAGTGTTTTTGCACAAGTTTATAACGTGAACTCAGTAATCGGCCAAAAACACTACTGGGAATTCTCCCGACTCGATTACACACTCCGGCTTTGGCCGCAGCCGATTGCCTGTCCTCACATTCGTGTCCTGTGAGCAGTTCCTGCTCAGTGTGCTGTGATTGACCCTCTTGTAGCTTATAGATGCTGGACGTTTTTGCACTGTGTTGATAGATACGCACATTAGCGACTGGGTTCATATTAGCATTGTGCTCTTTAATCCATTTCCACAGATTTCCTGAATATTCCTGTTTATTTAGAGAACCGGTTTAGTCGGCAGAGTATGTGTGTGGATGATCTCAGTACTTTTTGTTTTTGTAGCCAGTTTTAACTTTAAAACAGTATTATATATATTTTTTATTTTTTTATCTCAAACCTGGTGCTTTGCATGTTCTCGCTTTGACTGAAACGAACTAGGCTACATTTAAAATGAGTTAAATAAATATCAGTCGCAGATTTCTTCACCGCAGCTCCCCAAAAATACGTTAAAAATATTGAAAAAATTTCACCACTGTGAAATCAAGCATTTTAGTCAACAGTCACAAAAAAGGCCACGAAGTCCTGATGGGTCTGAGAGCGTAATCTCTTCTAGTGAAGTGGACTCAGCGCAGTATTATTTAATGTTAAAAATCATCAAACCCAGCAGATTTTATATAAGGCACTACGAATGCATTGATCTGTCTAATATCGTGATACATATCGTGCAGTGAAAATTCTTTAAGTATCGTGATACGATACTTTTTGCCGTATTGCCCACCTCCAGCATGTGGTGACCCACCTCAGCTGTGAACATTCTTGATGGTTTGAAGTTGTTTCAGTTTTTAATTTTAAACACATTCAGTTACGTGTAAAATCATTCACCCGTGTGATTCAGCGTGAGCCACGTTGTGATTGTACACAGTCCTGCTTTCAGACTTTCCAGCGGTTTAAAACCCCAGTCAGGCGCCGAAACAGCAGCTCCAGCTTCACTATGCATATCGTCACTGTCGTATCGTAACCTTGTACTTTCTTGGTTTTAATCTCGATCTCCAAGCCGCCCTTAACACTGCGTGAGCACTTCGTGATGAACGGACCAATAGGAACTTGGAATAACATCTCGTTACATTAACGTACGTTAAAGTTACGATTCAGGAGGTACGAGGTTTTGAAGCGACAGTGAGGATATTTTGTTGCAGTACCAAAAACTGACCCTGCAGTTCTGACTGGGGCTTTAACGGTCACCTCAGGTCCCTTTTCAGCGTTACTGAAACATTTAACTGACCTTTTTCTGTCTTTGACACACTTCAGCAACAGCGGCTACTTCACTCTTTATTAGAGAACAGAAGGGAAGACTCGTCCGGCGCTGTTAGCTGTAACGGTTATTTTCCGATGGAGGTTTGATCTGTATGATGTCACTAGAGGTCACTCTGTTTTCAGTTTTATTTGAAACATTCAAGCATTTTTTTTTGGGTTTGTGATCCAACTTTGAGTTTTATTTGAGGTGAGACTGTAGAGTTACTTTCAGTTTAACTCAAACGTAACGTTTGTCCCGTCTTTTCACTACAAAACTGTCAAAACTGGTCAAATCGGAGCCCCTTTGCTTCTATGCACCTGCTATGGTTTGTTTTTTTTGTTGTTTTGTAATTTATACGTTGAAAAGACAACGTTAAGAAACAGTTATTGAAGTTTTTATGTTGTCCTGGTTTTATTTTTATTTTTTTTAAAACAGCACTATTTTTTTGTGTATGCTATTTTTTTATTGTAATTAAAAAAACGAGAGCTATGTTACTAACGATCAGCAAAGATTGGCCCCGTCTGTTTCTACACCTCTGCCAGTATTGTTAAAAGCTGTTAAAGGGAAATTTTTGTTACTATTTATATTTTGTCCTTTTGTCCTTCGTTTGTTTCTTTTTTGTCATTTCATGCTTGCCTCATTTCAGGCAATGCAATTTTTTGTCGTAAAATACCATAGGAATAAAAAAACAGTAGTAATTTAAAAGCACAAATAGACCTATTTGTCCAGTTAAAAATGATTTTAATAATTATTTTTATGGTTTCTGATATCAAGCAGGACATTTCTACTACTTCAGCTTTTTAGCCAAAATATTATTATTATTATTATTATTATTGTTATTATTATTATTATTATTATTAGGAAGGTATTACTGATGTATACAGTTGGGAAATTAATGTTTTAATGTATGGATAATTTGTAAATATTGTTTACAAGACCATGTGTTTATTAGAACTACATTATTTTTGGTAAACTATGTACATATCCTGAAATATTTCTTGTTTGTGTGAAGAACTTCTGTATTTGTACCTATTTTGTAAAGGAATAAATAAGCTGTTTACTAAACTTAACTACTTTTGTTGTGTTTAACTGCATCGGTGATGTTTGTATCACTTCATAGCGTCATTTTTGTATTTTATCTTAAAAGCAGCACAGATGTGATCCTTCTGATCTAATGGCAGCATTTATAATTAGGCTTATCACATTATTACATCAGCCACAAATGTCATACTTTCTCACAAATTCTTTCAACTTGTCTTTTTTCCTCCGTTTCCCAGAATGTGGTGCACATTTGAGGCTGACTGCTACACCAAACTCCCAGCACAGTGTAGCCTGCGCTAATTACACTGTTTATTATTCCACAACAGTCTGAATTTGGATTGAATTTTACAATCCGAATTTTTCTTGGGATGGTCTCCGGACCCCAGAGCTCTCTATACCTTCATTCGTTTTGAGGTGGAGTGTTTCTAAAGCCACACATCCTCAGTCATACTGAGGATGAGGAAGGTGCTGAAGGCAGAAGTTTCCTATCATCTCCGCTGTGATTCTCCTCTTTGCTCTGCAGTATGAAGGAAAGTTTTGGGCGACAGACCTCAAACATACTGTAGTGCTGCAGCACCGCGGCCGCTGCATAACGTACGGATGTTAAGCGTGAGTTTAGTTTATGAAGCGCTACGATGATGTTTTTGAACTCAGTCCAGAGTTTAAATAAATATTACAGCTCCGTTTCAGGAAGACTGGAACTACAGGCTGAATTTCACATATAAACACACTAGCAGTCAAAGATCTGGACACATGAACTGGACATGCATTGTTCATTATCTTAAACATTCAGATCCAAAGGTTTATGCTTAAATACAATCACTTTCTAAGACATAAAAAGAGTTGAATCTAATTATTATTTAAACAAAAAATTAACATTTAAATGTAAAAAATGTATTAAATGACTATATTAGATTGATTTTTTAAACCAATTTTTAATTTCCATAATTCCATACTGTCATGGTTTTGATGTCTCCACTATTACAAATCGTGTGAAATAATAAAAATAAATTTTATATCCTCTACAGAGAACAAATATGGCTTTTTCTGCAAAAGTAGTGCAAAATTTCTACATCATTTTATGTATCGCTGCTGTCAGAAGAACACGTATCTCAATCTTTTTTGTTTTTCAGTTTTTGACATAATGCCATTTCAAAATGCCTGTTGCCCTTTACACTCTATATGAATTTCACAATAAATGCACCAAAAGAAACGGCCCAAAATGACTCGAAAAACTAAGTTTGGTTCCATAGACTTACATTAAAAGTATGTTTTTTCTTCTCCTGTAAAGTTACCATTTTGGAGACAACAGCAATGATGTATATATATAAAATATTTATGAGTTTAATATAAAAAAGACATTAAATATGAAAATATAAAACATGCTGTAACATTTGCACAGGGCACATTTAATGTCTGTTAAAATGTGCAGTGTGTTCTGTAAACTGGGGCGCCCAAACCTTTGCATGCAGCACTCAAAACAATGACCTTACTGACACTAACTGGAAAAAAAACACCACATCTGGAATAAACAGTACATCTTTTTATTATAGCAAATATGCAAGTAAATAAAAAAGAAAAAAAGAAACATGGAGACACTGTTAACAAACACATGCCCTTTGAATACCACAGTCTAATTATTAAAACATTAAATAATAACAATTTTCACCTCGAATACATTTTGAAATGTTTTTCTTCTTTTTTTATCCATATGTACACAACATATTGCTCGTTTAATGAACTTCTCTTTTTCTTTTTTGTCCTTTCATCAGAGCACTCAGATCTCTTTATGTTTTAGGCCTCGTGTACTAAGAGAGAAAACAGCGTCCTGAACTTTTGATATACAAATAACTGTACATAATACCAGTAATGCCAGCCGGCGGACCGAGCGCCGCCAACACCTGCTGCCCGCTGGTTTGTTTATGGACCTCACCGACCCGAACCCAGAAATGCAACACGACCAAGAGTGAAAGGAGTGAATGGAGGGGGACGTTTCTCACTGAAAGCCATGATCTGCAGAACATCTGAGCTTCTCGGTGTCAACACTCTTCATAACGTCATTAGCAAACTCAGGTGAGTCTGATCTACTGAACCCACTTCTGATGTATCTGCATAACCTCATGCTGCGTTTGTGCGTCTCTCAGTGACTTTCTGCTCTTTTTGTGCATCCCTGCAGACTAACAACACAGCAGTGAGTAGATTTATCAGACAGTTTGATAGTTTGCACCACAGCAACGTCGCTGTCTAATTTTTTTTTGAATAATTTGAAGACTCCAGTTACTCTTTGCTCTGTGGTAGAACTTCAAGATTAACAGACCAACAGAAAAGGTCCGAAATTAAGGGGAAAAAATTATTCTACATTTCTCCTGTTACAGGAGTTACAGGAGTTACAGGAGGCTTGGAAATCCTCTTCTCAAATGCATCTAAGCTCTATTTCGTCACTGTCATATTGAAACCTCGCGACCCCTTTTTCACTTTTATTACAGTTCTGTGGAGCCAGCTGCTCTTTGTACCGTGTGAACTATTTCTTTGTATTGTGTGATGAACGGACCAACAGAAATGGCCAAAAATGACTTGAAATAAACAGCCGGTTTTTCCAAATTTCGACACATTTAAACTGATTTAGACAAATTATTTCAGTCAGAGAGTTTAAAGCCTCTAAAACAGGGGTGTCGGATCTTATCCGCCTGGTGTGACTGCAGGTTTTCACTCCAAACAAGCTGGAGATCATCTGATTCTACTTGTTTAATCAGTCAGTCTTAGTCTTCAAACATTTCATCAGGTGACCTCCTGCTTTGTTGGAGTGGAAACCTGCTGCCACACCTGGATAAGACTGGACACCCCTGATCTAACAGAACCTCACAGAAAGTTATTACACTAAATGGTCATGAATACGCTGCCTGACGCCAACAGGTTTGAGGAGGTTTTGTCCCAAAAACATAAATAAAAGCCTTAAAACACAGTGAGGTCAAGGCAAAACGTATTCGTTTCAGATTTTCACAACTTTATCATTGGAAACATTTCAAATAAAAGCTCAAAAAACAAGTGTAGGTTCACTGGTGGTTTTGGATGGTAAATAAAATGCGTGACCCCTGGTGTCCATCACCAACCAACTCTGAATGCCTTGGCAAATTCTTGAATTCTGTGCAGAAATTTTGAAAAATTGGTGGAATTGCCCTTTACACTCACTTGCATGAAAAGTTCTTCCCTCTCTGGTGAAGTCATCATTTCAGAGGTTTATTATGACAGTGATGATATATGAATGTTGAGAATCATAAGAGGAAATGTTCTGAGCTGCTCCAGCTTTGGCCCACGTTCGTCCAGATGGTCTGCTGAGGTTCTAGACGTGCAGATGAGATGCGGAGTGCAGTTCTGTAGGTCTGTTTGGGACTGGTGGTGTTTGGGTGGTGCTGCGGTTGGTCAGTTTTTGTTGGTGCGTATGTGTGTGCAGAACTGCGGGGGTCCTGTAGGTGGTTACGAGGGGCTGACGCAGCGGGGGGGAACTAACATCTCCACTGGCGCTGCTGGTCTCAGAGCCTCTGGGACACGCACACGCTGCACATGAAAGGAGTGGTTGGCCATTCCCTTTGTGGAGGAGTGGATGAGAGGGACGAGCCGAGTCTGGGTCAGAACAAAGCCCGTCGTGATTAGGCTTCCCTACGGGGGGTCCGTTTCTGCTCCAGGCCTTCAAATCCACACACACACACACACACACACACACGCTCTCTATGAGCTGCGCAATCAGAGAGCAAACACTGTACCGAAACCAGCTGATCTGAACTTCTTGAGAACTTCAAACTGCCCAAACCCGCCTAATGACCGCTTCCACTTTCCTAATGCTAACTTCATAATGAGGAGCTTTTTATTTATTATTATTTCTTTCTGGCGCTCTTGAACTTGAACTTCTCTCAGTATTTAGATGAGTCTGCCTTTGACCAGGCAGATCAGAAACGAGGGCGGGGGGAGGGTTTATTTTTGATCAGAATCGTTTGGGGTGGAAGAAACAGCATCTGTAAGATTCACACACAGAAAGAATGGGCAGAACTTCTTCTTTCTGGTGTCTTTGAAGTGGAGCTGCTGTGTGAGGGATCAGTGGTGTGGATCAGATGGAGGGTGACTGACCTCTAGCTCGTTTGTTTATTCTTAGCTTTCAGAGTTTCTGGGTTCACTTAGGGTTTCGGCGCAACAACTCGGGGAAAAGTTTGGCATCAGCTGCCGTTTGTAGCCCTGACTGAGCCGAATCAGTGTTACCTGAGGAGGCACTGTAAACTCAGTAATTACAACAATGTTCAATAAAGCGTGTTTATTTTTCATTGTGGAGCGATTTTAATCCAGTATGAATCTGCAGTGTGTAGTTTTACAGTCTGACTGTAATAATTGTGGAGCGATTTTAATCCAGTATGAATCTGCAGTGTGTGTAGTTTTACAGTCTGACAGTAATAATTGTGGAGCGATTTTAATCCAGTGTGAATCTGCAGTGTGTAGTTTTACAGTCTGACGGTAATAATTGTGGAGCGATTTTAATCCAGTATGAATCTGCAGTGTGTAGTTTTACAGTCTGACGGTAATAATTGTGGAGCGATTTTAATCCAGTATGAATCTGCAGTGTGTGTAGTTTTACAGTCTGACGGTAATAATTGTGGAGCGATTTTAATCCAGTATGAATCTGCAGTGTGTAGTTTTACAGTCTGACAGTAATAATTGTGGAGTGATTTTAATCCATAATAATTCTGGATTGACTGTAATCCATTATATCTACTATGTAATTTGGGCAATCTGAATCAATCCTGCGTCAAATCCTGACAAATTACATTACGTTACTCAGCCTTCTCCAGTAAAACTGCTCCAGCTCCAACAGAGCATTTGCCGGGACAGACAGCCACATTTCTGATATTGTATATTGTTTTCACTGTTTTAACTCTGTTTGAATGCCTCAGTCTAAAAGCTCCAGAGTTCTGAACCCGTTCAGATGCAGCTCTGCCTCTTTCTCAAACTAAATCTGAGCAAAAACGTTTCCTGTTCTTGGCCG